CCAATTCACGGCCGTGTCATGGATGGTGAACAATGCACCCCGGCTGATTCACTGATTTCGATTTCGATTCAACGACCTGTCCACCCCAGGACACACGCGACGTGGTGTCACTGCGGAAGCCGAGTGCTACGCCGGGAAGTGGAAATGCTGCTCAAAGACCCAGTTGTCTGAGAGCAGGATTTCCACGTCCATGGCAAACCGATGAGCTTCCGCTGCCGGCACCTCCACCTCACCGAGGGCAAGCTCGGCGTTTTCCTTTTTTGGTATGCCTGTTCCACCATCTTCTGCCCCAGGTTTTCGCCTAGGTGCATGATCATGACGGAACGACCTTCGCCGTCCCTCACTGCCTCACTGTCAACCCAAAACCCAACCCGAAGTAAGCCCCGTAGTTTTGCCCCTCACCGGCTCCAGGAAAGCATCGCGACGCCGGACACCCGGATACGAAGGCTCTCCGCTTCTTGCGACCCTCCAGGCCTTCCTCCCAGCCGGCCAGGCTTCACCCTGCATCAGGATGGACCAGGCTGGAGTTTGGTTTGCTCCTCGGCCACGCGGAAAAATCTGGTACGAAGCGCCGTGCTCCATGCCGGAGACGTTGAAAGGAGTCTTGAAAGGATTCAGGCAGTAATCTCAAGCGATTGAGCCAGAATGGCACATGTCCAGGGCGGGCAGATCCGCAAGCAATATTCCATGCTCGGACCGACTGCACCTGTCGGTATGCGGCCCGGCCAGGTTACTGAACGGCCCTGGTGAGTCCGAAAGTGTCTGTGTGTAAACCTCCCCCTTGTTTCTATGGGATATTGCGGGAAGGAAAGAAATGGGGGCTCCTCCAAAAAAGGGCAGAGCTCTTATGTCCTCAGAGAAGCTCGGAGCAGAGAGCTCAGGGCACAACGGGACGTCTCCAGGTCGTGAAGACCAGGACTCCAAACCTCCAGTCGAGCAAAATGCAAAGTGCAAAAAAAAAAAAAATATATATATATATATATAAAGGGGGGGCAGAAGATCAAACTGTCTTGAAGGCACCTGCGTCTTTCGGGATTCTGTTAGTAAGCCATTCGCTTTTCCCGACGTTGGAGATCGAAGCTCCGAGTCCCAGAAAGGGCCTGGGGAGACCCAGGGCTCGGTAGAACTTAGCTCCGCGCACGGCACCCACGATGTACCTGGCTACACTTTCGTTGGACTTCAGCCTCACTGTGTGACTGTTGCTCTGCGGCAAAAAGATGGACTTGAGAGCTCTGGCTGGGGGAGGCTCACCAACAGATCGAAAGCCCAGGCAGTTGTGCGTCGAGGGGCTTGGTCCAAGCCTTGGCTTGGACGACAAGGATGTCTCGACTGTTTTGGAGTGGACATGAATGGACCTGCTTTGATCATGACTCTTCCGCCTGCGTGGAGTGGATCGGGACACGCAGCACACAACACAGGGAACAGAGCATCAGAAGAGCATGGCACAACAAGCACGCCCGAGCCACAGTCTTTGTGGCAACACGTTCAACACCGCGAATGCCCCTGAGGACGCTGCTCCCATGCCGAAGGCTGCGGCAAAACCACTGCATGCTCCCAGCCTTGCCACGACGAGTCACCATGGCAACGAAGCTGCAACCCAGGCGAAAGCAGGCGAGAAGACACGCCGCGCATCTGATGCCCTCCATCTTGTGCGCATGTCCGACACTGGGCACATCACAGCACCTGGCTCCCCTCGAAGCCCCACAAAGTGGCCAAGCCCAGCGTTCCTGCTGCCTCAAGGCACGGGACTGAAGGATGTGAAGCCACAAATCGAGAGCCGGGTTTCTCCAAAGAGGAACCAAGGCTATCTGTTGAGACAGGACGAATGGGGGTTCTCAGCTGACAGTCTAGGGTTCCATGCAAAACGCGGGCGAAAACAGGAGCCAATTGCGGAATGAACTCAAGCAGAACAACCCTCATTTCTTAGCTGCACACCTTGTGAACACTGCTACTCTGGACAACTTAACCTTCGAATCTGAAATCAACGACTCGTCAGAAGCCTGGGCCATCAGGATGCTGGTGGAGAAGAAACCTATCTCCTGGACATTCGCCTGCCGGGCAGAAAGCGAAACGAGGCAGCAGGCTCGGAGGCTGTTGGGAGGTGTCACAGGCGCTTGACAAGGACCGGCCCTCAATCTCCGGAACCGAGCAAACTCGCGAATCCCCCACACACTGCAAGCCATCGCTTCATAAGCTCTGCTGGTATTGGTTTCTTGAGTTTGGTGAGTCAAGAACACTCAGGCTGACTGGCTGCCTCGTAGCAGGCAGCGCCTGCAGCCAGTGCAGACCTGTCGGTTTGTGGCGGACAAGAGAACTGCACAGCAGCATGCTTCTCGAGTTTGAGGATTCACGAGACGCCCAGCCCTCGGCACAGCCCCCGTGAAGAGGAGCTTCCACATTCGGGGGCCGTCCTGGATTCGCAGCTCGGTATCGGTAACCGAGACCACGGCTTCTTGGAGTTCTTGGGTTGTGACAGTTCGCTGAGAAATAGAAGGGCATGTGCGATTTCACATGTGCAAAGGTATACCCATGACAGCTCCAATGTTCTCTAAGACGATGATCGTAATCATCATCATGGTCATGGCCATGATTACCACAGTTCGCACGTGCATCCGAATAAGAAGCAGTACTTTAAGACACTTCTTCTGAGCTCCCGTCCCAGGTGAGGCAGAGCCCAACCAGCAACGCTGCAGCCGCAACGGTCCACTGGTACGAGGTGCCGTTCAACCTCGACATCGCGAGTGACGGTTAGCAGTACGGGGAAGATGTAAGCCGAGAGCGCCTGATGCCAACAACCCTTCGAGAGGTTGCATTCTGGAGGCTCGTAAGGCGCGGTGCTGTGAGAGCCAAAGCCGACAATTTCGGAGGTGCTGCTGGCTTCGCTTTGTGGAGCAGACACGGAAAGGCTACTTCAGGAATCATTCCCGTCTACCAACGTCATCTGAGCTGAAAGCCAGTCACTGAAGCTGTTGGCATACACGAAAAGCGGCGAGTCATCGGAACCTGCTCTAGCTCTCGATCAGCTGCGACCTTACTGCCTTCATTCTGGTCATGTGAAGGTTGACTGCTGTCCAACTGATTTCCATGGCAGGCTCTTGACTTTCAGCTTCTCAGCTCCACCTGTGAAGTTCGCAAGACCGTCACCTCGGCAAGACAACATTCTGCTAGAGTGCCTCTCCAGAGCACAAAGCCCTGTAAGAACTCCCCGGAAGAAAGCCTACATAGAGACCCTCGGCCCTCACACAGCAAGTGCACAAATGCCACTGAGCACCATAAGGCTTAAGGAGGTGGCAGGACTGATGCAGGCCGATGTCTATCACGTCAGGCGTCTGGCAGCACGCAAGCTGTCAACGTACAACTGGCAGAGTGTCTCGCGCTAGCTTGACGTATTATCAAGCCCATCCGAAGACACGTCGACTTTACCTGTACATCCATCTCAAAAAGCGACGGGCTCACCCCGGCGAGACCTGTCGGAGCAAGGGAGCATCACTGCGATCTAAGATCGGAACCGCTCAAGGGTGTGGAACTTCTGAAACACAGGCATCACAGGCCACGTCCCATGACTGATTTCATGCCTCATAGCGAAGACCCTTGAAATCCTCCATCTGCCCAACACCCGAAAGCCAATCAAGCCTGCCTCGCACAGGTGCCTCCGCACCCTGTGCTGTCACCTTCAAGGCGTGGAATGAAGCTTGGGACTGCGGAATCGCTGCTTGTGATGCAGGGAGCAGTGCGACACAGCAGACTGCGGAACGTCGGCATCCCGCCCCCATGTTTGCAGAATCCAAACCTTCAAACCGGGAGCCACTCTGTGCCCCAAACGGTGGCATCCAGCGCAGAGAAGAGCCATGGCACAGCGACTCGAATCCGCATCTTACCAGGTTTGGCCTTCAGAACCTGACCTGATGACGACTTCTCTGCATGCCGTTCGGGCGGAAGGCTTGCAGCTCGCTTCTCCTTTGCGGGTCGTTCGGTTCGTCGAGTTCTGTTTAGAACTTCGGGTTTCTTCTTATGGTCACTCCTCACACGATGGTCTCAGCGTTAGGAAAGCTTTCCTAAGTACTCGAGCCCGACGCCAGAGCACTTGGAATGGCCGCATGTTTGCAAAAACCGGGGTGGTCAGGGCCTGCCGAGGATCGGGCAATGGCCTCTTCATCTCTCGCTTTTTGTCGTGCTTTTGCCACTCCCACTTCACAGCAGATCAGGAGCTACCGCATTAGAGGTGAAACGTCGGCCGTGGAGTTGTGCCCATTCCAGGTCTTTGCGACGATTTGGGGAACGCCTTCTGCTGTGTCCCTCTGCTGTTTCTTTCGCTGGTTCGAGGGATCCACACCTCGCAGGAGAACTCGCAGCCGCCTAGATGTGCGTTTCTCAAACATAAGGTCCCTGACGCCAATGACATCGACTGTATGAGCGACTCGAGTCGCAGACGACAGGGACCTCACGTTTGGAAAACCTCTGAATCTACAGCAGTTTGGGCTCTTTGCAAGCAAAGATGAGCGCCGCCACTGTACCGGCCGGTCACCATCTGTGCACGTGCATGCCGGCCTCTGATCCCTCAGTGCACCGCTACCAGGAACGCTTGAAGCAAAGCCGTCACTAAACTCTCACTGAGGGATCGGAACGGAGTCGGCTGCACCCGTCCCCGAGTCCAATGGGGACTTGAAAGAGCGCTTCTGAAAGCCGCTGATGCCACGACGCACCGATCTGCTGCAGGAAAACCGTCCATCATTCTGCTCGAATTTGCATCGTACATATGCGTATGTGAGTGTATATATATATACTAAACATATGCGCAAACATTCGTATGCGTTGGTTTTTGTGTATATATAATCTTTGAGCACTTATTCAATTCTTATCCAATCTGTTTGGTGATACCCGGAAGCCCTTCCACACTTACCCCTCGCAAAGTCCCCAAAATGGCTCGTATGACTGCTGCTTCGTTGTACATGTAACACATGCGAAGGGCCTAGTTTCAGTGCTTGCCTCACTCTAGCTCATCACTCTTCTCGCACGCGGCCTGAAGCTGGCAAGAAAAGGTATGGACATCCGAAGCGTAGCGGGAGTGGCAAGTGTGAGCGGCAAGGGACGGAAGAGGACAAGTCTCAAACTACCCAAACATACCCAAACCAAGGTTCACCTTCGTGGCGATCAAGGCCCCCACGTCAACGGAGCGAAAAAACGAAGCTGCAAGCACTGTAAACTTCCAAGGCCGGCCTATGGGATGGTAGTGGCCAAAGCGGACCTGCGCCTGTCGGCTTGGAGTTCAAGGTTCTGCGGCTTTTTCGGGAGTGGAGGGCTTGAGCGCACCCCGGATGTGACCCATCGGGCTGAAGCACGGAACTTGGAGTTTAGGACTTTTCGTCATATCAGACCCTCGCAGGATGCACCCAGCACCATCGTGACTCACCAGCACTGCGGCCCAGGCAGCCGCGCCCACAAAGCGCCGAGGATTGGGCCTGGACTCAGTTCGTCTAGAAGTTCACCAGCCCTGAGAGGTAAGAATCCAAGTCCAAGCCTTTTAGCCAAATAAGACCGGAAATCTTCAAAGCCAACTGAAGCATCTCTTCGTGAGCTTCTGCTCCCCGACTGAGCTCCGCACCCGCGGCTTGGCGTGTGCGTCGGATGCCGGTGCCGCATAGCCGCGCCCGAGTTTTGACTGTGGCACACGCAACAGGACGGCATTCCCCTTGTTGATCATGCAGAGACATGCAGGGTCCTCTCCCGTCGGGTCACTGAGCGCCCGCGGTAGCCTGTGTTGCCGAGGCCTTGGGCGGTCGTGTAGGACAATCTAACGTGAAGGTTTGTTTAACTCGGGGATCTATGCCAAAAGCCTCAGGAGGGGCTCTGAGCTCTAAAAGCTCTGGCTCCCGCCTCGAAGCAGCGTCTGCGGGCTCCGGGCTCCGCGAACGACCACGCTGAAGCCTTCGTCTTGCAAAAACACTTCCAAAGCAGTGCCGGAGGCTCAGCAAGCTCAGGGGACGAGGAATTGAAGGTGTGGCAGAACCTCAGTGTTGACAGATTAGAGATATGCGTGGTTCCATCTGAGGGCCCAAATTGCCTCAGGAGCGAGGTCTTTCCTGAGGAACATTGGTGTGCCCCAGCACTCCTTTAGTGCGATTTGTGAGCCATAGTGCCTTTCCCCTCGCCGGTCTGGCACCGCCGCCTCAGGCGATTCAGGTCGAAGGGAAGAGCCAAACTGCGATCGGGCGCAGTCTTAACCAGCCGCCAGGCCTCAGCTCTGGCTCTGCACCACGCCTCGTGACCAGTGCTTAAGCTCGCCGCGGGGTGCCGTATGGGTAAGCAGGGACGTCATCCATGGCAGGCTGCTCCCAACAACCGGCATGGCAAAGATCAGTCCGTGGGACTTGTGGCGGGGATCTTGGAAGTCGGCATCGCCAAGATCTCAGCAGTTCCCGTCATACGACAGGGCGTGGAGCTCCCAGGCAGACATCCAAATCGTTCACGAAGAACGCCATGTGGAGGCTACGGAGGATGGTTCTGCGAGAGGAGTGCAAGCTGTGGTCAATATGCTGAGGAAGGCGGAAAACCGCATTTTGCGTCTTCAGCGAGAGAAGCAAGAGAAAACTACGAGATGGCTTGCCTATCAAAAGGAGATGAAGGCGGCCTTTATTGCGGAAGAGAAACGTTATGCCACAGCACAGACGAAGTACACCGAGGACATGGCAGAGGCGGCAAAGCAGCTGCACAGTGCGCGAGAGCTCATGGCCCAGGTGGCATCGGAGTTCAGGTCAGGGCCTATGGAGGTAACTGGACCTGCCACTGCCACAGAGGAGAGATGCTCGAGCCCCCAGTGGGGAGGGGACTTCTTCGATGGAACGACATGCCCCTTCAGCTCCTTTGGGCACGGCTCATGCGACGACCCTGCCTCCTACGGCAGCACCTCCACCTTCTGGACAGAGCTATGGATGTGCTTCACCCGCGGCTGGACATGCAAGAACGTCCCCATACCCGGAGACATCGCCTGCAAGGCCGAAGGTTCCTCCTGTTCCACCTGTTCATGCGGAACCAAGCAACGATGGTGTCGAGACAGCCTCTCCTTCCGATCCTCGGAGGCCGAGACCACCGACGGGGCCCGACTCTCGACTTCCGGACAGAGTATCGGTCAAGCATCAAGCCAAGGCTGCTCCAGACAAGGCACACCAATCAGGCCTGTCGGACAAATTGGATTCGAAGAGGCCCAGATGAAGGGGACGGCCCTGGATCCATTTGGCATACCACAGGGCACAGGGGCCGATGCTACGACCTTGGGCCCCAATCCTGCACCGAAGGAAGGGGAGTCAGGCATTATCGACGACGATCAGGACGAGCTGGGCACAGCTTCACCAGGCTTGGGACGCCTGGATGTCTGAATGCCTTTAGGAGAGTGGCGCTGCTGCAAGTACTTGGGTGTTTACCTTGTGACAGGCTGGTGGGACATTGCAGTTTCGGGATCTCTGTGGGGAGATCCTCCAACTTGCGTGCTCCCGTCGGTCAATGTCCAGGTACTCTCGCCTTGGTACGTGCTGCTTGCCGCCACTCTCGGTTTCACTGTAGCTTGCAGAATGGCTGGTTTTGCCGACACGCTATGCCGTTCCTGCCCTTCTGTTCTTGCCCACTGTGTTTCCTTCAGCCCGGTGCTCGACTTCCCGGGTCTGTTGGATCATTCCTGGCCTACCTTTCTCCTTGCCTTCGTTGCTCGAAGGTCTTCCGTGTATTATGCCGAGCTCTGCCTTACTGCAATCTTGGTAGGGCTTTGTCGATTTTCTTTGGGATTTTAGCGAGGGCGCCAAACATGTGTATCGGTGGCTCTGGGACACAGGCCTCGCATTCCCACTTCGGCACTTTCTTCTTGGAGGAACACCCCTCCAGTCGTCCCTTCGTCCCTGTTGATCCTTTCCTCCTCGGTGCTCGACTTCCCGAGGTCCTGGTTCAACCATGGACTTTTGAAGCATGGGATTGTATCTTCCATTGCTACTTTTCGCGAGAGGTTGCATTTCGGATACCCCATGCCAATGCTGGGTTTGTGTGCAGTTGCCCCTTTTGGCCGCACCATTCTCGAAGTGGCAGTGATGCAAGAGCGCAGAACATGTGCATCGGTTGCTCTGGGGCACAGGCCTTGCATCACTGCCAAAAACGCCATCCAACACGACTTCCTTCATGTGTCGATACCGTCCCGAGGACGATTGACCCATTTTTGGATTACCTGCTCGGCCTTGGTCAGGTCCTCCATTCTTTGGCCTGCAGCTGTGCCCTAGCTGTCTTGCTCTTGCTTGTCGCATTGCTGGCTCGGCCGGTTCGAGCTGAGCCTTCGCCGCTTGGCTTTCTGTTCGGGGCATATGTCTATGGAGTACATCTTGGCACCCTTACGCCTCTGGGATGCACCAGCCCACATGAGCATGCTCTCGATTGGAGGCCTTGGAGGAATCGCAGAGGTAAGGTCGCCAAGTGCCATTCTGGACTTAGTCGGCCTATAGCTCGACTTTGTGCCGCTCTGCTATGTTGGCTGTCCCTTGCAGAGCCAGTGCATGCAGCTCACCTCCCGGCAACATGGCTTTTGATTCCTACTGCATATGCCATGACTAGACCACCGCGCCCTGACGACCCGCCAGGACTGCCCTATGCTCAACGAAGGCCCCACCTTGTCCCGCCTGAGGAACTCACCACACATGTTGGGGTTTGTCCTCATGGGTTCGTTAGTGGCTTGAGGAAGGATCGAGATGGGGAAGAGAGGCACCTCCTCCCTCTTGATGCGAGCAGCATACCCACTGTTGACCCTGACAGCCCTGATACAGGATCTGAGTGGCTTGGCATCTACCTCCTCACTCCCCACTATAAGACCCTCACCCTTGCCATAAAACCACCGGAGCGGACCATGCGATCAGCCCTAGACCTTCTGCTTGAAAGGTCGCCGGACCAGCCTTACCGCCTCTTTGACACTGTGGTCCCTCTGAGGCCTCAGAGGTTCGCGGGTATTGGCTCTTTTGTCTGCTTCTCAAGCAGTGTTCGCAACACAGGTGTAGGCGGACAGGCCGTTGTCGTCTTCGATCTTACGAGGGTCGGAGGGCATTACTTTTCGGCGGTTGTTGCCAAAGAGCTCGCTTATCAGACACTGGTAGACTATATTGTCCCGCTGGCTTCCGACGACGACACACCGCTTTCTCTCTACATCGGCCATCGGACACGTCCATGGCCGGCATGCGCACTTGTCACGCTTTCTGATGGCGAGGTTATCACGGTCTTGAGAGGAGACTTTCCAGCACCTCGTCCTCAGAAAGCTGAGGAACTTTTCATGCCAACGACAAAGTGGACATTCCCCAAAGATGTCCCTCGACTCACTTATAGTGAGTCGATTTGTGTGCTGCACAGAGAGCGGCGTTATCTCCTCCCGGAACACCACCATTATGGCAGCACCAGTGTCGCCTATGTGGCGGAAAAGCTCCGGCTTGACCCGCATAAGACAGTCATGTGCGTTTTTACAGTAGGCGATTTAGACGTGCAAGGGGAACTAGCAAACTCGGTTATAGCTATCGCTGAGGTGCCTTCGCCAGCCAACACAGGTGTCAATCGCGATGAGGCTCGCGATACTTTCGTGCTACTTGACCCTAGGCCCTTCGGCCTGAAACCGCATATGCTGTTCCTGCACCATGACATCGTCCACATACCAACTGTTGTTGCACTCCTTGGCCTCCCGACCTCCTCGGCATTCAAGATTGGAGTCTCGGGAGGCACAAAGCTTGGGGATCGGGTCAGAGTTTCTGGCAATGTTGCCCTTCTTCTCTTTCCAGAGGCCAAAACCTATGAGGATTTCGCAGAGGACACATCCTCTTCTAGCTCTGTGTCACACCTTGTTTCTCCTTGGGAAGAGGATGAGGAGCCCGTTGGTGATACAGGTTCTGCCGAGCTCTGGGGGCCTCCGCCGGGCCTCACATTTGAGGGTGTTTCCGTGGTCGACCCGACCATCCCTCCCGGGCAGAGCTGGAATGAGGAAGTTGCGGAAGAGTCGATGCCAACTTACACTATGCCAGTGCAAGCAGAGACAGCTGTCGCCTCCGGGTCTGCACCTCCGTGGGATACCTTTGAAGATCAGCCCCCACTCCCTGCCCCTAGTGATCCCCCCGAGGTAACCTCTCCCCCGTCAACAAGTGGACTTATTGCTGCACTGCAGGTTCAGGCCCTTGTGTACGTGCCAGACTTCGTGCCTGAAGTTGTGGAGATCAGTGTCGACATTCCCACCACCGTTCAGGCTGTCTGTGAAACATTGCAGGACGCTCGTCTGGCCTATCAGTCATCCAGCTTCCCCTACTTGTGTGCTGCCGTACCACAGCCTGTACCCGAATTCGCCGTCTTCGTTGCGGCCCCTCTTTGGCAAAATGGCATGGCCGTCATACTGTTCGACTGCTTGGGGTATGATGGCACACTCTTTGCCAAAACCGTTCACAGTCGCCTCAGTCGTGAATCCCTGATGCTTGCGGCTGGCCTGCCACATGATGCTGCTGTACATGTCTATCTTCGGGGCTCCCTTCATCACCTTGGAATCGACCAAAGAGTCGCCTTGAGAACTGGCGATACAGTTCAGATTGTTCGCCGTGGTGTTTTGCCTGGGGCCTGCCACTATTTAGAGGATAGGCTTGGGACAGTTGAGCTCTGGGATCGTAATGCTGAGCTTCCTGGGCCGAGGACACATTTCAATGGGTGCTTCCAGATTCTCAATGAAGGGAGCCCCTTTCCCTTCATTGTGCGACCCAATGGTTATTCGACATTCAAGCGGGATGTCGCTGAGTCCGTTGGGTCAGATGAGCATAGGCTCACATTGAAGACATCAGTGCCTAGAATTGTGGACTCGTATCCGTTTGGACATTGGGCTTCGGGCGTCATTGTTGCGACGGAGGCACTGTCTAGGGTCCCGTACCCGCCTGCCAGGC